TTTTTTTTTTTTTTTTCTGGAGAGGTTTTTGCTATAAGGACGCGTGCGCTCACCAGACAGACAGAGACAGAGAGACAGAGAGATAGAAAGCGAGAAATCACCCCTTAGGGGGGATGGTCACACCACAATCCCTTCTCCTCCATTCTCCTCTCGGGATCTTGAGCACACACACGCTCCCGGCGTGAGTTTAAGCCACCGGTCCGGGACTCAAACCGCGATCGACTACATGAGAGTCTAGCGACACGGCCATTATGCCAACAGCTGGTCCCTCCCCCTCTTTTCTTAAGCCCACTATGGATGTGTAAAAAATTCCGACTTTCCAGCATTCAACACAAATTTGCTTGTTGTGGGCTAACATGTTATTTTTAAGATTTACCAAATTTTAAACATTTTAAATATTTATTCCATTTGAATGAGCAATATATGTGCACATTATCTCTTGATTTTCCTTTAATAGTAAGTTTTATTTAAAAATTGATCTATTTGGGGGCCAGTAGGTGGCATGGTGGTTAAGGCACTAGATGTCCACACGGTGAACCAAGGTTCAAGTCCCAGGCCTGGCAGCTTGCTTTCTCACTTTCCCTCTCTCTCTTTCTCTCTGTCTCTCTCTGGTGAGTGCATGTGCCCTGTAGCAAATGAAATAATAATAAATAAAATTAAATAAATAATTAAAAATAGATCTATTTTCTGAAAGATTACTGATCAGCAGATACTTGTAATGGGTATTTTCAAGGAGCATTCTATCAGATTGCAGAATGTTATCTAATAGTGAAGTTTTAACCAAAATGGGAAGTTGCTGATGTAGACGCCAGTTTTAGCAAGAACAAAATCTAATAGCTGACCTCCTAACTGTCATTTCTCCAATTTATCATCTCTGAATTTTACCATTTTCTATTAAAACCTGTATTAGTCATTTCGTATTAGTCATTTCATATTTGTCTTTAAAGTGGCTGCTTTACTTAATAAATTTTGTATAGGAAATTTTGTATCATTCTCATGAAAAGATGTCATTATCGTGAAAAACCAGCATCATTTGGCATAAAATACACAATTTTTTAAAATATATTTATCTATACCCACATCTCCCCAATAGGAAATATCACAGCGGGGTCTGTCTCTTCTGCCTGGAATGCCTTTACCTCCCTCCTTCACTAGACAAACTCCTACTTATACAACAAGACCCAAATCAGATGGCCCCTCTTCTGTGAGTAGGGCCTGTGAAGCCCTTCGACGGTGTTGTCCAACATCCAACATGGTGGCTGAGTGCTGGAAATGTAACTGGTTCAGGTTTGGATGAGCTATAAAGTGTTCAGCAGATTTCAAACACTCACATACAAAGATTTTCAATTAATACCATTTATTTTCCCTTTCTTTTTCATGTGGCTACTAGAGGATTTAGACCTGTGTACGTGGCTTTATTTGTGACTCACAGGACATCTCAGTGGGATGTAGACTGCCGTAGGTGCTCAGTGTCAAGGACACAGGCCCAGACGGGGCGTCCAGAGCACCGAGACAGCCAGATGTGTGCACGTATGCATGTGCATGCACGGGGGGATATTGGTTCCGAAATAGAAAAAGCTCAAAAAAATCAAAATGACTGAGTGTTTAATTAGATGTTTGCAAAATGTGACACGCAGCTCGCCAACCGCAGCTCATCGCAGCTCGCAGAGAATTGTGTATGAAATATATTGAATGTGCAACCGAAGCAGGGCTAGATTGAAGGAGGGGAGAGGGAGCACCTGGATGCAATATTCAGGGAGGCTGTGCATGTCAAGGTCATGCTGCTGTTGACCCTGCACCTGCAGGAACCCGGGAGTGAGCCCCTCAGATCCCACACCCTCGACTCCTCTAGCACCTCATGTACTCCAGCCATGAAGACCAGAGTGCTTTCTGTGAACCGTAATGCCTATTTATTCATTTATTTGTTTGTTTCAAGAGATTTTTGCTATAGGGTGTGTGCCCTTGCAAGAGAGACAGAGAGGACTGCAAGAAATCACCCCCAGGTGGGTGACCAGGATGCAACCCCTTCTCCTCCATTCTCCTCTCAGGGTTTTGGGCACACACTCACCCCCAGATGTGAGTTTTAAGCCACCTGTTCTGGGACTTGAACCGTGGTTGACTATGCGGGAGTCCAGCAATGTAACTACTATACCATTTGCTAGCCCCTCTTCTATGCTTATAATGTACGCCTGTGACCGTGCGTGCCAGGAGCCTCCAACACAACAGGTCTAGGACCAAGCAGCGCCTCCAGGTGAGGCCAGTCCCAATCCTATCTGCTCCCACCATGTCTCCCATGTGGCATCCTGAGGGCACCTCTCCTCCTTAGGCCCAGGCCTGCCTCAGCAACCAGGCACCATCCTTGGCACAGGAGTGTGAATGTAGGATTCTTGTGCTCTGTCGCCTGGGCACTCAGGAACCTCCTTTTGCAGGAAGTACCGTCTGAAAGCTGAATCTGAAGCTCGGCAAAACTGGGCCCAGAAATGGGGATTTTTAACCACCCCCTTCGAGGAGGTAAGCAGAGTGTTTATGAGCTGAGTCTGTAGTCTTTCCGAGGATGAACAGCTCCAAAGTGTGTAATTCTTAAGGACAAGCGGAGAGCATGTCGGAAGCAGATTGTTGAGTGCCCACTGCCTGTGAGGGATGTTCTAGGTGCAACATCAGAACCGGCTCGTCCAGCCCCCCAAGTACCCCGGTGCAGGGAAGTGCTCTCTGTTTCATGCCCATTTCACAAACTCGGAAATTGAGCCCAGAGAACTGCAAAGCCCCATGACTAACAAGGAGCTTGGCCGGTGAGGAGCTGGCCAGCCTAAGCCCATGGGCGCCTACCGCAAACACCCGTCTGTAAAGGGCCTCACTGAGCAACCATGAGCAGCTGATTAGACACCCAGCGGCCTGGAGGCTGAGCAATACACAGAGGGTTATCGGGAAATACTCTAGGAACTTCCTACACCAGGGCTTGAAAGTCCAGAAGTCTACACAGAGCAGGTAGATGACAAGAGTCAAAGGGGCAAGCATAATTCATAAGGAAGGGTGGGGACACTGGCAGAGAGACCACTGTCCCATCCACAGGACCACCACCGTTAGGTTAGATAAAACCCTCATGTACAGAAGCCAGTTGCATACTCTGATTGGTCAAGAGAGTCCTGAAATCCAGATGTTTGATGAAATCCTGAGTCTAGAATAGGTGACTCAGATTTCGAAACCCTGAATAGGCACAGAAGATGCTGTGCGGGCTTCAGGGGCGTGGTGGCGACCTCTCAGCTATCTCCAGGACACCCCATGGGGCCTCATTTCTTGGAAGGGGTGCATAATTCGTAATGTTACGATTCAAGGCAGCATAACCTCATCTGTAATTCAGTCCGCCCCACTAACTTGGAAATTATGCGGTTCTTAATGCGGTTTCTTCATTCTTACAGAGCTATACAATTTGAACTTCTATGCATAAAATGCGTTCTTATTATAACATGCATCCAAAAAGTCTATATTTATATTCCTTAGAGGTAATTAAATTGGGTTTTCAAAGAGTTCAAAATTGCTTTAAAAACTAACAGGGAGATGAGGGCTCTTAGTGACATTTAAAAGTTGGCCCAGAACCCCGCTGGCGTGTTCTCTGTGAGCGTGTGACTGTGAAGCTCTGGGAGTCACCGCGAGGGGCAGTACCACAAACCAACAGCTGTAGGCAGCAGCAAGAGGGGACAGCAGTTCCTCAGGGCGCACGGGGCTGACCAGTGTTCCTCTCACGTGGCTTCTCTGCATCATCGGGACAAGCCACCTCCCACTGTTCCGAGGTCCACTTCTGCCTTCTGGGGATGATGGGGAGAGCAGCTCCCCAGCCCCCTGAGCCGCCTGTGTTGGGGATTCTGTTTCAGCTGATCGAACATGACGAGTCCCCCACCCCGAAGCCCAGAGGCCAGCTTCCCGAGCGTTTCCGCATCCGGCCGGTGACTCCTGTGGAGAAGTACATCAAGGTTGGCAAAGTCTTTTTCTTTCATTTATTTTTTAGAAGTCGCGTGTACTTACCGGAGAGACAGAGAGACGGAAAGCAAGAAATCACCCCCCAGGTGGGATAGTCATGGCGCAATCCTGAATCCTCTGTTTCTCCTCTGGGACCCTGGGCATGGCCGGTGTGAGTTCCTAGCTACCAGGTCCGAGACTCGAATAGCAGTCGGCCACGTAGGAGTCCAGCGCCTTGACTAGACTGCCACCTGCTGGTTCCGCGCAAAGTCATTTTAAGTCCTCTTCGTCCAAAGTAAGAAATAAGCCCCTCAGACACTGGCAGCTCCAAATGCACCTGCAGCTGCCCAGGCTAAGCTCGCAGCAATTCCCAGCACCAGCGGTCTGGATTCCAAGCCCAGAACTGGAGTCTCCTTGGGCTCAATGTCTCCACACACGCAAGGGCCCTACCTCCCACTCTGCACAAAACGCGGGGCTCACTCCATTCTTACAGCGAACACTTCGGGCGTGGGCAGTGAGATGGCTTTTGCCTTACACTTCTGCCTGGTGTCCCAGGGCATGTGTGGTCACGAGTTCCAGGTCTCCGTTCACGGACCTGGGGTTTCTGTCCAGTCACGAGCTGTGACAGACAAACTGCAGGTGCACCCCTTGCCAAACCCTGGTGTGCGCATGCGTGGATGCGAGGGCCCGGCCCAGGGCAGGCGCTTGGGCAGAGGCCGTTCCTTTCGCGTTTGCTGTAGGCCCTTGCACTGCCACCCGCAGCCGGAACGCACTGCTCCCCATGGTGTTCTCATCTCTGCCGATCCTGGAGTGGAACACGACATCTCATTTCTTTCCCAAGTGGGACAGAGAGCTGACAGCTAATCTGTTGTTCCCAAGGCCTGGCTGGACAAGCAACCGAGGCGACTTCCCTGCCAGCGGTTCTGTCCAGGGCCAGCCCCGGGAACGCTGACCCCTCCACCTTGCGGCTGACTTTCTTCCTCCGGGCTTCTCAGAGACTGACTTTAACACCTCATGGGGGGCATCCACTCAGGCTTTCTGCACCAGGGCAGCCCCGCCGGCCCTTCCCCTCCGTGCACTGCCGGCGGAAGACTCCATTAGCAAGAAGGAACTCATAACCCCAAGCATATTAAACCACTTTATCTCAGCCTTCTGTTACTACGCATGTCCCTCCCTGTGGGCTCTGTCTGAATCACCCTCGCAGGCAGCCGGGGTATTTCAAAAGGAGGAGGGAAACCTGTCCAAGGAATCACCACGTGAAGATGTGGTTTGTGCTTCCAGTAGAAGCCCGTTTTCCTTCATCTTTTGCAAGTTAAGCCCATTGCTTTTCCATTGCGGTGGTCGCTACAGTTCGCGTGTGCGCGCACATCTCACAGGGGCTTCCTGCCGGACGGCGTGGCTCAGAGCTGCCAAAGTACACAGCAACTGACAGTACTGCCATCTCTTACAAGGAGCAGTGAGGAGCGTGTTTATTACCTTTTTGTCATTGTTCTTCTTTTACCAAAACAAAGTGACTCTACTGGCGCTCGCGAAGTAAACATGTTATGCATCATAAGATAAAGAGGAACGTCCACTCATTTCCAGTTTCCAGGAAGGTGGGGTCCCAGAGCCAGCTGTTTAGAAGGGGCTGTTTCCAGGACACCTCAGGGACATTTTCCTTCCATCTTTCCATAGCAGGACTCGCATGCTGATCCTGGCCCTCTTCACGTTGCTGTGGCCCACGGTGACTGAAGCTCTGCATTTTCCTTCCAGGTCCTTCCGTCCCCGCCGGTCCCACAGACAACTCAGGGCTTCATCGGCTGGAGATCTGGGGTGCCCGGCCTGAACACACACCTGCACCACGATTTCGAGATCAGGAGCTGCAAAGGGGCATATGCCCGAGAGCTAGGCTGGCCGAAGCAAGGCATTCATTGATGATGGAGCCCGGCCCCAGGGCAAGGCATGGTGGGGCTCCAGGGCCCTGGGTCCAAGCCCAGAAAGGAAGACCCCCAGTTCCCTGAGGACATGGGCCCCTGCATATCTGCTCAAGGGCTGTTGGTGAGAATGGAAGCATCCCTTAGAAAGTCTCTGTTCGACAGTGCACGCCTTCCAGAACGTTCACTCAACACACCCATTCTTGGCTAATGTAATGAACATTGCAAAGTAGACACTCTGATGTTCACTGGTTTTTTTTTTTTATAGATTTATTTATGTATTTATCTGTTTCACTTAATTGTATTTGTTATTATTATTTATTTTTAATTTAACCACAGAGAGAGTGAGAGAGAGAAAGGCAAAGTGAGAAAGCAAGCTACCAGGTCCAGGAATCAAACTGCGGATGGCCATGTGGGAGTCCAGCACCTTAACCACCACACCACCTGCCAGCCTCGAAATGGTTTTTAGATACCTTGGGAGTTTGTAGGTATGGCTTTTAAAAGGAAAATAAGAAATTAATCTTTAAAACTTCTATCCAGGCCCTCCGGTGTCATTTTCAAGGGCCCCAGTCACCATCCCTGTGTGCAGAGGTTGTTGATCTGGAATTTCTGCATCCAAATACACCTGGGTCCACTCTTCCAGAAGAATGAAACACTTACAGGATCCCTTGGCTCTCCTGGCCGAGGTATCTGCAACTAGTCAGCAGCACTAAAGGCAGACATGTGCCCAGGGCTGGCACTGGAGTAGACTTCCAGGCATGCTGAGGAAACCGCCCCTGCTGACCTGCCACCCACCCCATCCCAGCAGACAGCGCCAGGCCGGACAGCCGGGCAGTCTTCCTTCCCACGATGCCGACCCCTTGATTAGCCCGTCTGGCCCCGCTTAGCTCTGCACCTTTTCTCCTGGTCTTACAGACAGGGGTTGGGGACAGGATAAGGAGTACCAGAAGGAGCCAACACGCGCTCGGCCTCTGGAATGGGACCCGAAAAGGAGAGTTTATTGGCAGCCATGCAAGCTGGTTTGTTTCATTTCTCAGTAGCAGAGGGTTGATGCATCCTTCAGACCCGGCCTGGACAAGGTAGTGGGGGCCATGCCCTGTTACCTGCCCCCCATAGAACCACATGCTTCCTCCCTTCGCTGGCCAAGCCTCACGTGCACAAGTGGGCTCCTCCCTAGAGCTGGAGCAGCCTCCATCTGGTGGGACCCACCTGCAGGGCCATTTCCTGCATGGTGGGCATGTTGGAGCCCATCCATATCCCTCCTCTTAGAGTCACGGGGGGCCTTCCCACCCCGAGCTCAGTCACAACCCCTCTGGGATGCCTTGAAAGGGACTCGGTGACTTCTGGACACCAAACACCAAGAGGACAGGATTGCTGCTGGCTCT